AGGTGGCGAGAGCCTAGTTCAATCCCAATTGTGCTCTTCAAACTCTAAAATTCTCGTGGGTATTATGGTCATTTTGCCCTTTTTTTGTCATGATTATGTTTTTTTGCCTTCTGTCTTGATCATGTGTGTGAATATGAAATTAAAGTGAGAATAATTTTTGCATGCTTTATAGAAGGGTTAGATGTTTAGGATTGAGAAAATTATTGATACATCTTTTGATTTAATACACTTATTAATATCCATTAGTTCAGTTATAAAAATCTGCAATAAAAAATTTTTGCGTTTAAATTTAAATTTTAAAATAATAATTTTCTAATGAGTATATTTTAAAATATGTTGAATCAAAAGATATATCAGTTATTATCCTTAGTATTATGAAGGTTCGAACGTCTGACATTGGTATTAAATTATGAAAATTTTTAAATTAGTAAATATCAGTTTGGCCAAACTTTTGTTAGTAGAAAAGTGATGATAATTTTATTGCTATACTGTGGTGTACAATTATTTTAGAGCAAATTGCTCTTGCAACTCATGTGATTATCGTGATGAGTACACTTAACTCCTATATGGTTTGAAAATGGGTATTTACAGTATGTTTGCGTTGAGGGGAATGGAGGGGAGGGTTTTTTTTTTTTAAAAAAAAGGCAATGGAGGGGAGGGTTAGGAGGGGAATGGATTTAAAGTGATAATAATTTCATTGTATCCCTTCATTCCCTTCTCTTTTTTTTTTTTTGGATAAATAAATAAATTAAAAGAAAAAATAAATTGAAGGCCCTCCTTCTCCTCCCCTCTCTTCTAATTATTTTGGTAACCAAATAAAGGAATTTTCTCCCGACCTCTCCCCTTCATTCTCCTCAACCTAAATATGCTATTACTCTCTTAAATCATGAAAATGTGTTTCAATCCTCTATGAAATTTGAAAATGTGCACTTGATTCTCAAGTGTTTTTAAGATTTACCATTCAATATTAATAAAATTAGAGGTTAAGTGCACATTTCTTATACCACAAGGGCATTGAGAGTAGAGTTTCTTGATTTAGGGGGTTAACTGCAAATTTTTATTATTAAGAGAGTTAAGCACACGCACCTAAAACCATACTGGGGATAGTTCAATTTCACATATGCCAAATAAGGTTATATAATTAGTTTCCGACACTAAAAGATGAGGACGACGAAGTTCTCACATCTTCCAAACTACAAGAGAAAGAGAATCCGTTTTGTTTTATTTAGAAAATCAAGTGCACGTTTTCAAACTAAATAAAAGTCAACCCACGTTTTTGTCATTTAGAGAAGGGTCAAGTGCACCCATGGAAAACCATATTGAAGATAAGTTCACACAAGCCAAGATGATTAATTTGTTCTTGAAAACGAAAGATAATAAGCAACTAGAAGAAGAGAAGGTATAAGTTGTAATTTAGAATTAAAATGAAGGGCCATTGGGGAGTTTATGGTAAAACTGTGTCATCTCATTGAAAACATACTACCATGTTAAACCAACAAGAGTTTATTAGTGTTATTCTTCCACGTCTCTCTAACTCGTGTTTTAGATCTATTTTCATATTATTTTGAAATTATCATACTTGGGGTGCTATTATTGTTCATGAATTGCAATTTGTTTTGGGTGAATCAATGTTTTGTAGTGATTGAGCCAAATAATAATAATAATAAGACCGTTTGTTTAATTTTTTAAAAATTAATTAAATATTTTAAATTATAAACATTAATACAATTATTAATTTTTAACTGTTTCAAAAAATTTAATCCATCAGCCTAAATGGATAAAGAAAACTGGTTTCTTTTCCTGAAAAAATTAATGGGCCATCAATAACATATATGTTGAAGTTGGAGCCACTACCAAGCAGCTGCATGGCAGGCGCACATGCAAACATGTTCTAGAAGGTTGATGTCACTCGTGCAAGTCATGTTCTAGAAGGTTGATGTCACTCGTGTGGATTAGGGATCATTTTTGAAATTGGTGTCGACTAAGGACCCTTTTTGGGTATTCGTGAAACCCATTCTTTCTTTTTATTCGATTTACACATGACTTTTGATCTTTTTAATTTTTGAGTTTGAATGCCGGCCGAGGCGGTCCCTTCCATGTTTCTGCTTCTGTTTCAATTCCAACACAGCCCCTTCTATGCTTCCGTTTCAATCTCAGGACGTAAAACTATCAGTTTGCAGTTTTGAATTGTATTATAATGTTTGTTATAAATCATTAAATATAAATGCATTTTTAGATATTGAAACTATTTATTTTAATTTTTATTTTATAATTTAATATAATTTAATTTAAATTATAAAATAAAAAATATTAAAACTATATATTGTTGTCATCAAATTTTTGTTGATCTATCATGGTAATGTACTTTTAATGAAATGACACTGGTTTTGGCTTGTGCAGCAAGTTAATTTTACCATAAGTACTCCCCAAATGACCATTCATTTTAACCCTAAATTTACAGAACATATACCTTCTCTTCTTCTTGTTGCATGTTATCTTTCACTGTCAAGAACAAATTAATCATATTGGCTTATGTAAACTTATCAATTTGGTTTTCGAAGGTCCGCTTGACCCCAAGATCACAAAAATATATGCTTGATTTTTATGTGAATTGAAAATGTGAACTTATTCTCTAAATCATGAAAGGCTTTTGTTAAAATTTGTAAGTGGTAAAATTTTCGTAAAATAATATTATCTTTTAGCATCCAAAACCAATTAACCATATTTGGCTTAAGTGAATTTATCCCCAATAAGGTTTTGGATACATGTATTTAACCCTCTAAAACATAAAAATGAACACTTAACTGTTAATCCCTTAAATCACGAAAATGTACTCTCAACCCCTTGGCATAGGCAGTGTGCACTTAACCTCTAATATGTAAAACCTCAAAAATGCTACATTTTCCCAATTTCATAAGGGACCAAAGCACATTCATGATTTGAGGTATTAAAAACACATTTTCAAACCATGTCAGAGTTACGCATACCTGACATGGTAACCACATGAGTTGCAAGTGCAATTGCCTTAAAATAATTACAGACCAAAGTATAGCAATGCAATTTTTTACTTTTCTATCAACAATGGTTAGTCAAATTAGTGTCCAATAATAATTTTAAAACTTTTATTTAAAATTAACTTTCAATATTTAAACTATTACAATATTAAACCGTTAATCTTTAAAAATAACCTAAATTCAAAAAAAAAAAATATCGCTCCGTATCACTTTTCCTATTCTCACACTTATTCAAGAGAGAAGGCGAAAAAACATAATCATTACAAAATAAGGCGAAATTACCGAGTTATACCTCCCTAGCTAGTTATGCCCCTATAAGCTAGAGTTTGAAGGGTAAAAATGGGATTAAGGAGGGCTCTCTCTCCATCTACTTATACCTCCCTAACCAGTACCAATTTCTTCACCATTAAGGCATTAACCTTCTGCCTCTTTGCTCTCTCTCTCTTTCACTTATACACACCATATATGGCTCTGAACAAAATTTTCTCCACTGTTTTCATCTTCACAGTAGCCATCATCATATTTTTACTAAAAATCCAGTTTGCTGGAGGAAGACAATTGTATGTTGTTGATAAAGCAGACCCTCAAAATGGTCCTCCTGCGCCGCGAGCCCATTCACCCCCCCTCCCATCATTAATTTCTTTAGGCAAGTGCTCCTCTCTCGGTTTTTTTTTTTTTTTTTGTCTATATCAAATTTTTTACCGTTAAATGAGAAAATCTCATACTTTATACTTCTTTTGAAGATGACCTTAAAACAAATTATAAGAAGAGCTAAAAGTTTTTAAGGTGGTAAATTAAGTAAGCTTTTATTTAATGGGAAATGATGTGTGCACACCTGGGTCAACACCCGGATGTGCACACTCTCCATTGAAAAAAAAAAAACCCATCACCACCCGGTTCAATTTTTTTTTTTATGTGGAGGTGCACACCCGGATGTTGGATTCAGGTGTGCACCAATTAAGGTCCTTATTTAATATGGATGTAGTTTTCGATTTTGGTTTTAGCTTTTATAAATCTTACAACTTTGAACAAATAAATTAGTTTAATTTTATGTGTTCTTTTAACATATTATTACAATTATTAGAAAAATAAGAAGAATAAATTTAATTTTAATATTATTAAACAAGTTCATATTTTTAGTTGTCAATGTTAAAACAATTTTCAAACAAATTTTTAGTTTCTGTTTTGAGTAATTGTCAAATTTTTAAAAATCAAAATTAAAAATAAAAAATTACAACTATATTAAATGAACTGCACTAAAAAACTCCTCCTTGAAGGGGTCAAGTGAATAAAATGACCATTAAAATTTAAAGATTTTGAAAATTTTTGGGGGTCATGGCTCCTTTCCTCTTGTAATTATTTTCCATCCCAAAATAATTGTCATTTTTGATATTTTTCAAAGTTTGTAATAATTTATATCTTGACAAATTTTATTTTTACCTATATGCTTTTAATTTTGCAATATATAACCATCATACAACCAGCTAGAATGCTTATGTCATACTTTTCTTTCATGCTTGCAGGTAAGATTCTGAAAAAAAATGGGTGAAGGCATGGGGTTTGTTCTGTTGACATATGCATGCGTTTATGTAATATATCTATGTCCTATGCATGAATTTAATTATGTATTTTATTATATATTTAAGTGTGTAATGTGTAATTTGTATTGCATATAAACTTAAGTATGTATTTGTTATATATTTAACTATATGTAATGATGTACTGTATGAATTTAGGTATGTATTTTCATTTTCCTTTGTAAAATGTTTAAATATGTTTTAATCAAATATATATTAAAGAGTACTAATTTTTTTTTGCACAGATTAAAGAGTAATAATTGACAGATACAAAATAATAGTAGTCAAGCA